TCTCTCTCTCTCTCTCTCTCTCTCTCCCCCCCTCTCCCTCCCTGTGCAGGGCTGAGTGTCTCTCACATAAAGGCGAGGTTCAAGGGTAGAAACTTGCAATTCCTGGCCCGGAGGAGTCAGTGGGCTGAGCAGCAGATCATGGTCTGAACCCAGCTATCATCGAGCCGAAGCACAGCCTCGTCTAGCACCTCGAGTGCTGTCATTCTCTTTTCTTTTTTCTTCTCCTCGGTGAAATCTGATACAACCATCAGCGGGTTTTCTATGCAGTTTGGGAGGCAAAGATTTAAGCAAATTGCCCCCTCGCGTGTGTTTCGCAGTCATAAACGGCTTCTAGAGGAAAAGAAACATTCAGCTCATTACTGCAGCGATTCAGATGCCTTCCACTTTGAGCGAGAGGGACAACCCCTAAACCCCGTTTTTACACGAGGGACAGACACACAGACATCTCCGTCATCCTCCACTTCATGAAAAAAGGACGTGTCTCGGTTAGAAGAAGAAGGTGACCAGAGAGCTGACGGTGGGGGATCATGGCAGCTACTTTATCGGCGGAGGAGGAACAGGTAGGCCTTTTTACAGTCCTTCCACTTCTTCCTTTTTGTGTGTCGTCGCCCTTAATGTCCCAGCCTCGGCCCTACCTGGAGGTATTATCTTTTTTTTTTTTTTTGGCCCCCCCCGAGCGTTTACGTGAACGCGCTGCAGCGATGGTCGTGCGCAATGTGGGTTTGTTGCGAAATGCAGCCCTGAATGCGTAGCGGAAATATTGTATCGATTTCTCACCGATTGTTGTTGCTCTCGCTGCATCAGTGTCAGTTCCTCTCCAGCGGCTTGAGCTTGAAGTGTTGCGAAACAGGCCGATATCAGCCTTTATCAGCCCCCACACATGTGAAATGTCCATTCCTGGTTGTTGTAGCGTTGTTCATTCGAGGGCACGGGCCGTGTTATTACTCCGGGAACGAGTTGGAAACGCTGTCTGCTTCCACATTGGGCTCATTCAGAAATGTACACAGTAGAAACTTTGTTTCTGCCGTGTTTCTAGTGGCTTTGAAATAGACGCACGTGTAATCCAATTTCAAGAATGGGAAATGCATTTAACTTCATTTTCTTTCTGGTCCTTTAAGCCTAAATACTTGCTATAATGTGAAACGTTTATGTAAGCCTAAACAAATCTGTAAACTTTAGTTTTGACAAGTTTCCTTTTTGTAACATCTTGGCATATAAATATTTTGGAATAAAAACTTAAAGTGGCAAAAAATAAAACGTATGCTTTATACATTCTATTCTATCTTGTTCATTAAGTTCATGCTAGAAAACAGCAAATATTCACATTTGAGAAGCTGGAATCTTTTTTTTTTTTTTAAAGAGTTGTTGCAGATGAAGTGGTTTCTACTGATCATTAACTGAACAATCATTTCAGATCTAACATGATGTACCTCTATTATGCTTCATAGATTCAGGCCCTGAAGACTTTTAAAAGACCCACTCGGAGTCTTTCCAGCTAAACCTGGATTGCTAAACTTGTATGCATTAGTGTTCTCTAAATACAAAAAAAGTAGCAAATATATTGTGGTAGGCTATCCCGAGCTAAAAGTAACTCGGTCTATTAAAACAGTCCTGCAGTAAGCCCTTCCTTCATGAACGTTATAATGGTTGTAGCTGTTTTTTCAAATGTATGGTGATTTTGGAAGCCTTTAATTGTATAGTGTTATACTGAGAGGTGTCTCTAATATTTTGTCCATCATTTATATCAAGGAGGGTAGGCCAGTTAAAGTTGCATTGACTCCTTTACAAAAATGTAACATTATAACATCTATGAAGATGTAATGTAGGACTGTTGTTTCAAACTATTAGTCTTAATAAGCTGGCAACGAGTGTAAATGCATTTATCTTGATTTGTAGTTCAAACATGACCAGTCAAAGCTATAGTGGCATAAATGGTACCACACCATAAGAAATCCAACATGAGCAAAGAGACTGTAGTTTCTGTTTCTGTACATTGTCAGTTACTGTGGGGGAATAAATATCAGTTTGTAGTATCTAGATTTTGAATTTGTAAGTCTTCTTTGGTGCTTTGGTCTCGTGTGTGCTCTTCTCCTCTCATCATCTGGCCAGCAGAAAGCCTTATCTGGCTACTCCATTTCCTGTGTGAGCCAGGGCCCCCGCTAGGGTACCGGACGCCCTCATTAACATCCACAGCCTTGTGGGGGGTGTTTGGTTGGATTGCGTGTGTGTGTGGCAGGGTGGCTCTCTCGGGAGCATACACGGGTGTACTGGAACTTCATTCTAAAGGCAGCTGTTAAAAGCATTTCCACTAGACTCGGGGGAAGGGGGAATTTATGAGTTACAGAGTGCGTTTGTGTGCGTCTATCATGTGCTTTAGAGAAAGTGTGTGTGTGTGTGCGTGTGTGTGTGTGTGTGTGTGTGTGTGTGTGTGTGTGTGTGTGTGTGTGTGTGTGCGGTGAGTCTACTCCCAGGAAGCAGTGAAGTGAGAGAAATTGGGGAATAGGGAGAGGGTGACGTCATTGACTTCCTGTTTTGGTATTGACTCGTGCCAAATGGGACTCACTGAAGCAGCAGCAGTCCCACATTTGTAAATAGGTTAGTATGGCGTCTGTAATCAGACTGATTTTTAAAATGACAAGGTCAGCCACGAATCCTCTCTTAAAATGTAAAGATAAAGAAATGCATTAAGATCTGTAATCATGACGCTGCAGTTACCCCCCCCCCCCCCCCACTACTTTCCATCACCCTGTAATAGAGTTTCTGTCTGCTGAGACAATAACACAGTCACCGTGTACATTATGACTCCTGGCTGGAATGTGAGTACAGTGGACAGTATGGCAATACTCGGACATTAATTCCTGTAACAAAGGATCCTGATTGTAGTCAGTAAAACAATGTGAAAATAATCTGTGTGTGCCAGTAAGCCAGTGCGTACAAGGCCATTTCCGTGGCACTGACGCATCTAAATGAAATGCAGCTTTTCATTGATGTACACCTATATTTAACATCTCACAATGGGCACCATGAGAATGGCCTATGAAGGTGGATTAGTGGTTGGCAATATGGTCAAAGTCATCTATCCCACTATAGGTGGTTTTAAATCATAATAAACAAAACCTTCTGAAAATTCGGTTTCGAAACGTTTTTTGCGGACAGGTTTTGGCCAATCCAGTGAATTAAAGGGGATGTATGATGCTCATTTTCAGGTTCATACTTGCATTTCGGGTTTCTACTAGAACATGCTTTAACTTTTGAAAACTACATTATTTTTCTCATAGTTTTTCTGAATATATCTGTTTTCCCCCTCTGTCTGAAACGCCCCGGTTTAGCGCCTGTCTCTTTAAGCCACCCTCCCAAAGAAAACATAGCCGCTCTGATTTGCTTGCATGAAAAATAAGTTGCACATTTGCAAAGATAACTTTCTCAAGACGTGGGTTGTTTTTTTTTGTTTGTTTTTTTTCCTAATGAGCCTGCATGTGACATAGGAAGGGGTGCAAAATCTGAATGGCTGGTTGAATCACATGTTTTCTGACCCAAGCAGACCACAAAAAAACTGACTGGGTTGGAAGGAGCTCCAGATATGCAAATGTATGTGCACAAGCTCTGGAAAAGTGAGGTTTTTATGTGATATGTCCCCTATAAATATTTGAAAGATCGTATAGAGCTGACACAATTAGTCGAACATGCGGAAAAGTCACTGGTTCCAGCATCTCAAATATAAATAATTACTGGGTTTCTTAGTCTTTTGTGATAGCTAACGGAATATCTTTGCATGTGGCACTGCATGGAGCTTGAACGCATCAATATGTACCTCAATGCGACCTCGCCTAACGATAGCTGTTAGCTCCGTTATTTAGCCGAGCAGGACTGTGCTGCCCACCCGCTGCTAATAGCTATTGGAAGCATTTCTGATAGCGGTATCTGAACAACTCTACTAGGGAGCAGTAATTGACTGAACAAGGGAGTGATTTCGGACACTGACGCCATTTTTCTCTGTTGTAGTTATCTGGGTCAGGGTTTCAAATCTTTTTGGACCCGTGGACTTGTTTTTAGGGCTGTTTGGCAAAGAACCAACTGGAACTTAATCTGCTAATCTACTAACTCACAGCACAGCATGTTCCTACTGCAGTGAACCTAATCAATTACCTATCGACAGTCATTGTCAACACCACAAATAAAGAACCCTTGACAACAAACTGAATAATGTAATGTCAGCTGTTTATTGTTTAAAATGTCTCGGTCAGCATTTGAGAACTACAAACCGTGGACATAAAGACAGCGGAAACTATAAAGGCTTGTGGTCCGATGGACTAATTTAGTCTGTTTAGATTCACATCAGGCAGTTTAAGCCAGAATTAAGTGTTTCAAGAACTTGGAGGAAATGATCTCCTGCTGTATCAGAACTGGAGCAAGTCAAGCAAATATTTATGCATCCTCCAGGAATTGGAATAAGTCACTCCTCCGCATTGAGTCTTCCACTGCAGTCTGGTGGGCTATCGCAAAAACAAACCGGTTCATCCTCAAATTCCACTCTGGCGGATATGGCCCCGAGTGCAGAAAAACCAAACAAGACTGGCTTCTCCAGGAACAGAGGGTCACTGCCTGGAGTTGGCAGCCTCTCCTTAAAAGGCTGAGAGAGCGAGAGCAGCTGTCAAACCATTGAAATCGTGGAAACCCGAGTGTACCTGACAGCGACCTGACAGGAAGTTGTCGTTGGCCGACGCCGAAGGATTACCGCTTCACAGTGCAACAACAAGGAGCCGACGGCCCGCGTTAGGTGGACCTAGTGGACTTTCTGTTGAAGGACAGTACCACAGAATTTGACAATTCATCTGGTAAGCGAAGTCCAACACATTTTTGTGACCATTACCAACTCTAAAATAGTGACAACGATGGGAATACTGCCTTTGTAAATCTACAGAACTTCAAAGTATGAAAACAAACTTTTTTTTTTTTTTTTTTTTTTTTTTTTTTTTTTTTTTTTCCGCAGAAGAAAACCTTGTTAACTTTTCACCTTGTTGACATCCTGTTTAATCTTTCGACAGTTTTCTCTGTAAATAATTTGCAATAATAAGACAAAGCATTGCTCCACACAGTATCTTACCTCGTCAGTCTTTTTCCATTTGTCTTGTTCGAGAAGACAACAGAGCTGGATTCTGCTTCAGTCTAGCTTGAACCAAACCAACTTTTAGAAGACAGAAAGTTGAAGTCAGGAAGTCGATCACTGTCTTGTGATAGCCCACCAGCTCAATGGCACGAACAATAAACTCCCTAGATATTGGAAAAGAAGCCAATGGTGAGTCCACCCAGTAACCCAATGAAAATCAATTAAAAAGGAACAATGTTCAAACACATTTTGTGAAACTCGTCTTCACTTCTCAGTGGTCGTCTTCAGTGAGTTCAGCTGGCTATGCTACAGGACTTGCATGACAACATGTGCTCGTATGTTCAAAGATGGTCTCTGGCATGAGGTGTAGATGACCTCACGGATCTTTCTCTGGCCCTCCACTGGCTCCTGCTCAATGACTTTGACCCGTTCCCAGTCAACGCTGCGACTGGTTTAGGTCTGGTGTTCACAGACGGATGATGTCGCAACTCTCCATCTGCTGAAAAAGTCCATTAGATGTGCCTATAAACTCTACAACACGTACTGTTCCAAAAAGGAATAAGCTAGTGTATTAGCTAGTCTATTAATACTGGGCTGAAAAGAGACGCCTAACCCAGTAAAGTATTTTCTTATTGGGTCTACAGTATTCTGTCATAGATTACTTGTGAGGTCTGAAACATTTACTAGTTTAAATTGTTTATATTTGATGCCAATATTGTAGAATCTGCTCGAAGTGATCAGAGATCCATTCACTACCGCGCTGAAAAAGCTCAGGATTCACACCGACACCCCCTCCCCATGAGAATCGGATATGAAGCGACCTCGGCCCCGTCAGGTGCAGTCGTCCCTCATCCCTTGCATGTTAAGGCAGCTGAACAGAGCAGAAGCTACCGGCCCCCCTTGTCTGTGAAAGCGCTGGCTTTCCTGAGGAGAGACAGTGGCGTCCTGTCTCGAGGCTCAGCGCTCCTCACTGATCGTTTTGTATTCTTAAAGAGCCGTGGACCCCCAGAACTCGACTTCCTGTCTCCCGTGCATGCCCCGCCGCTGCTGTGCCTCACCAGAGAAGCGGGGCTCCTGTGTTTTAAAGTGTGAGCTTTCATTGCCTCCTGTGTCGCCTTTTGACGATTCACTGGGTGCTGACTCGCTCCCTCTGAGGGTGCTGAGGGTGGTGGGGGAGGGTTCCTGAGGGTTCCTGAGGGAGTGTATAATAAGAGCAGAGGGGAGGACAGGAAGCTCTTGAAAGACTCCCGGCTAAATGCATAAGTTATTTGCAAGATGGGTGGAAGGCCTTTTATGGTGAACACATTTTCCAAATTACAAGTTTAGTGCATTTGATTAGTTGTTTTTAGATTTGAACATTGTGTTTGATTTTTAAAAAGTGTAAAAACAAAACACATTTGCAACTTTTTCCTTTTTATTCACTGCTGTCGTAGCATTTTCAGCCACAGCAGATGGCTGTTTTCAGCAGACAAACATTAAAAACCCACTGTACGATACGGCCACTGTACGATACCTCCACAGACCGACACAGTTGGCAATGAGCTGGCGAACATAGAGGGTCATTTTGTGGCTAAAGAGCCAGATTTGGTGAGTTGATGGAGACCAAAACGGAGCCAAAGGAAGAGTGAATATTGGACTTGTATTCACCAGAAACGGACTCCAAATGAATGCTAATGTTCCGTATCTGTTTACCATTTTACAAGATGATATTTCTGTCATGTTTTGAAGCCCATACACTACATTTGATTTTGTGAATTCCTGATGCAAGTGTTAAAAACCCTTTTATTATATACTTCAAGCTCACTAAGACTTAATATGAAAGTAAATAGTAAAGCACTCAGTAGTCTCACTAAGTTTAAAAATAATAATAATATAGGGGTCTAATTAATGCCATGTAATCTGCGTTTTTAGCACGTTTCCGCTTTGCTGTTACGGGGCTCTTTTTTGTGGCTGCAGCTACATTTCACAAGAAACTAATTAGCATTGTCACCATGAAACATGTTGGATGCACATGTGTAAGCTCTACCGTCACAGAGTTTGATGGTCAATTTATCTTCTGCTTCCTGGAGAAGAGGAATAGAAAACCAGAATTGGGTTCAACAACAAATCCAACCTAAAACCCTTTGGATTCAATTGTCATTAGTGTCGTGTATATACACATATATGAACATTGTTAGCTGTAAACTGGAAGTTTTCTTTTCCTTAACAAAATTCCCTGGTTATCTCCATGCTGCTGTTTACATGCGTCACCCCTCAGTTTTACTTTTAGCTCAACCATAGACTGTCCCTTTTTTTTTTTTTTTTTTAATGTTTTTGTCCCTTCATGGTTTTCACAAAGTGCCAACGCTCTCCCCAAGATAGCTGCGGTTAACACAAGTTGAACTAGCATGGTTTTTGGTTTTCTGCACAAATTACAGTTCACACATTTAATTCCTTACCTCCCTGCGTACGTACAGTCTGTAAACACGCGCGCAGTGAGCAGAGCATACGATTCTTCATGAAACCCGATCATAGCCGTCTCACCAGGCCTCAACATGCTGTCAAATATTCTGCGAAGCCGTAGATAGCGCTTCCTCTGAGGAGGATGTATCGAGTTTAAAGCCCAGTTTCACTTCCCCTCTGTTTCACCCTTCGATTACGGGAGTACAACGTTTGTGACCACATCTGTCTCTGTTTCAGGCTACCAGGCAGTTTCTGGAGGAAATCAACAAGTGGACCAGTCAGCATGGAGTGTCACCGTTGTCCAGGGAATTGGCCGTCAAGTTCCTCATGGCTCGCAAGTTTGACGTCCTCCGAGCCATCGAGCTATTCCACAGCTACAGAGTAAGAATAGACGAGAGAATCACTTCAAATGAACTTGCAGCTGCTTACGTGAACACAACAGCAGAGCGGTGGAGGTGTAGCCCTCTCTGGTTGCCATATTGGAATCTTCATCTGTTAAACAGAGTGGCTGGAAAATAGCTGATGAACTTGTCTATAAAAATACAGTTAAGATGAACACATTATCTTTTTATATGCAAGTGAGAGCATCTTTGGGAACATTGGGCCTTGTTATAATATTCTTAATGATTTTTAACAAGTTGGCACAATTCAACTTACTATTACTACTTTGCACAATGGTAATAACGAAGTTTAGATGCTAATATATATTTATTTATTTATTTGTCAAAAGAAGCGTTTAAATGTGTATACATCTCAAATACACATTTAATCCCATTTTTCATTTAGTACTTTGTGCCAAGGCATCAATTTTGAATAAAGAACTTAATTCATGTTGCTAGGTACGCTCGCTCCATGTTCATAGTCTACATCAAACACGAGTTTAAAACGACATTTGTTAAAGAAATATATTTTATTGGGGACCTATCAACATCACTGCTTACATGCAAGATGCCAAAAGTAAGTTAGTTTACTGATTTCAGATCAATATGTGATCAAAGGATAAGTAAACAGTCCGACTCATTCTATGTCAACTTATACTACTGGACACTTTTCAATACCTGTCATCGTTTATACTCAGCCATGAGTTATACATGTATGATGTTGCCATATGTCATCACTCTGTGAAAACATGAAGGACTATTCTGTTTGTCTCTTTTCCCGGCTGTGCTTAAGATCATGAGTGGATGCTCATGGTGATGCTCATGGTGATGCTCATGGTGATGCTCATGGCTTCTCTCAACGTTAGTCCTACCGAGTTTCACAGAAACCCAAAGCCGCTTGCTGAAACATTGTTGGCCAATTAGAAAGTCATAACGGAGCCAGAAGAGTCATCATGTGAAGGAATAGTTTTATATGAGCGGACTCATCTCAAGCAATAACTCCAATGTTTTGGTGAAAACATAGTTTCCGTCTTTGTGAAACCTAAATTTAGAAACTCATCTATCAAGTCTGTCTAAACACTTTTTCTGTTTCAACATTATCGGAGGAATCTACTCCCACACTGGAACAATCTAATGTGATTGTGCTGAATGGCAGACGTTATTTCCACAGAACCTGTTGTATTCTATTAACCTCATTATGACGCGACTGCAAAGTCTGTAGCAACTTGCCTCTGACACCAAACTGCAGTTTAGTGCCTTTGTGATTACTTCAGATGGAAAGAGGTAAAGAAGTTGTAAGGACAATGAATAAAATCAGGACAACACATAGTCTGATGTTACATCCTATCTCCTCGTTATATCTGCTGCATTCGGTGGGTTTGAGATCGTATCTGCACAAAATGCAAAAGTATTAAAAGTCCTTTTCAAAATAAAGTACAGCAATCAAACAACACAGTTAGAGGTAGAAGGGTGGAGGTCATTCAGAGCATCTTCTCCACACCCAATAGCACAGTAACACGAGGCCTGTTTCATTGAACACATGTCTTCAGAAGCCGTAGCCAAGCAAGAGATCGCCTAAACAGATGCACCAAAAGAAACCTGGTGCCAGACACACACACACACACACACACGCACTCCCGCTGAATTACACTCCGGGGGGATATTTCAAGACGCAGCATGCAGGCTTATTCAGCTTTCCGGAGAGCTTATCACGAAATAAGTGTTGCGCCGTCATCAGAAAAAGCTCATTGGTTGAGACAGCTGAGGTTAGATTAAATGAGGAACATAAAGTTTTACAGGGCAGGGTGTGTTGAGCCTGCAGGCTCCACAATATCAAACACAATGATAGCATTTTATATTCCTAAGACAAATGTAAGAAGTGGATTGTGGTTTCTCGCTGCATTAGGTTATTTATTTTCTGGGGCTTTTGGTTCTTTTTTTCAGCCTTAGAGGTGAACAACAGCTCTTAAACATTACTGATCTCCCTTTTATTTCCTGTTTGTTTGCTATGTTCTTAACCACCGCTCTGGGGAGAACCGTAAATTGAAACTGGACCAAGTTTCAGACGTGCATTGGAGCTAGCTGTATATCTAGAAGTGTCTGCCATAGGGAGGTTGAGAGGCCACCTGACTGTGGGCCACAGCGTAGCAGAGAGAAGACGTCTGTTCACTCCACATCACTGAAATAGCAGTTGGTGACCTTGGTGATATTATTACCATCAAACCAGAAAATGATGATCGAGATGAAACCTCCAGGGCAGCGCCAGTGGATCAGACTGCAGGTCTCATTAACTTTATGATCTGAAAATAATAACGTGATCTAGGCCCTCTCCTCTGGTCATGAAATAACTACCAGGGAGTCGAGGAATGTGTCCCATTTGTCCCTAAATGGTCTATTCTGCTGTAAATTTCATTTTGGCCAAATTTGAACACGCAAAATGGGGTTTATCTGCTCCGTTTGATCAACTGCAGCAAACGGAAATTTCACAGACGTCTCGCACAGACTCTAATGACCTCCGGGGCAGGATTTCTGCCTCCTACCTTTTTAACTACCGTCCCTTCAATCACCAAGGTGGGTTCTTAATTTCTGCAATGAATAGTTAGCCTGCATTAACGCGATTTGGAATATGGCTGCCCTCCAGCATAATACCCCATAGTGGGTTATTTTACATGTTAGTCTTTCTGTCACATTTGTTTCTCATTACTAATAACACATGACTGACTACAACAATAATCTTAAAAGATGAAGGAATAAGAGCGCTGCAGTGAGTGTGAAATCAAGAGGTAACTTCCATCGTGGCTTCTTGATCAAACGAAAAAGCTTTTATGAAAACCAAACTGTTAAAATCAGTGTGAGTGAAATTATGGGGGAATTACTTTTGGGTTTGGTGCCTTGTCCTCCAGGTAGGTTAGGTTTGTCCTATATTCATCCCTGGTCACTGGTGAAGTGTATTTGTCTAGCCCTTAATCACAGTTTAGTGCCCACATTATTTAAAAGAAGAAGAAAAAAGATAAATACAACAGTAAATGGAAAAGATACCTCCCATGCTTGGCCCTTTTTAGAATGAGTTCAAGACACTCCCACACAACCTCCCTGGAGCTGTGCGGGAAAAAAGTGAATGGAAACCTTCCAGAGAGGGATCCTCCTGACAGGAAAGTCAGGCGGGTGGTTCTCCATTGTTCACAGAGAGGAATTCACCTCAAAGTGACGGCCTGTTCTAGTTCCTCCACAGCCTGACTTCACCTGCTGTGATCTGTTTTCTTCAGGAAACGCGTCTTAAAGAAGGAATCGTCAGACTTCAGCCTCAGGAAGAACCTCTGCGCTCGGAGCTGCTCAGCGGAAAGTTCACCGTGTTGGTAAGAGTGCGCTTTATACCTCCTCTACAGCTAAAGTTCAGTCAAATGTCATAATACAAAACAATTAAAGGATAAGGGAGGTCGTTATTTGTTTACTTATTGTAAACAAATCAAATGAAGACACCAAAACCAACGCTGAATTAAAAGACAAGTATTGTCTGAGTATGCAAAAACACAGCTAATTCCTTTGTCCCATAGTCCTCCATTGTTGTCCACAAACTATTGAGAACATGTGAACAAAGAGACGGATTGTTGCACTGTCGCATGTTCTTTCATTATTATGATAAACGGGTTTTGTAGGTATTTTTTGGGTTGATCCCACATAACACTGTCTTGGTGTCATGCTGACATATTTTTCACAAGAGCACCAAATGTGTATTAATCCGCAGCGGAAAATAGTCCCCAACAAATGTACTATTTACTCTTGTTTGAGTAATATTTGGTAAAAACTATGGTGTCAGCTCTTTCAGAAAATGACTTAGCCTTTTTTTAATTAAACCATGGCTTGTTTTTAAAGATCCGAAAATAACGAGACAGGTTTAGCTTGTTTTGGTATTTTCACAGAATTTGAAAAGAAAACTATAAAATTCCAAAAATGTTGGTTCTTCTGGCCTTAGCAAGGACGTACCATGGCTTGAAGATCAATCGACAAAGCGACCCCCACTCACTCATGTGATGAGCTCAGTTCTCATTGACAAAAAAAGTTGAGGGTACAAATCCTGAAAGCAAGTGCTCATAATGAGGAAGTAAGGGTCTTTTTGGGGTGCAAGTTATTGATTGACTGATGTGCCAAGTGGATATCCTGTGCCAGATAAATTTAGCTTTCTGGCAGCCAAATCACAACCATGAAAGATATATGCGCGCGCGCGCACACACACACACACACACACGCTCCTGAGTTTCCCTTCTTCCTTCCCCGTTGACGTGCCACAGTGGCATTGATGCTGCACATCCTCTTGTCTGACGTCGGAGGTCTCCAGCCTCGGCAGCGGTGCTTCATATCCTGCCTGAGGTATTTTTAGCCCCCGTGCCCGAGAACACTGGCTTATTTGCTTACAAAAGGCTGCTCAGTGCGGCTTCATTCACAAGTGAAGAGCCCCTAGTTCTCTTGACACCAGCAGCCTTGACACTGATCAGGTCTGACAGGAAAAATATGATCCGCGTCCCTCTCAGGATGAAAAAGAGCTGTAAGACCTGCAGCATCATGATGAGAGTCCTTCCCCCTGTTGAACTGTTGGCAGCCTGCCAGTAACCAGCATATGAACATAAGTGCCCCCCTGTGGTCATTGTTCATTCTTGCCTTTTTTTTGCAGAGCTTCCATTTGGCTGCCTTGTTGTCACACTTTAAACCAGCACCAGTTAACTCATAGAAGTACCATTAGATTTGTCAAATTTTGGTAAAAACATTCCTCACAAACATCCTAATTCATGCATCTATTGAAAAATGCAATAACTGTTATTGGAGATGCAGGGGAAAAACAACTGAGACATGTATCCAATGCTAATCAACAGCTCAGTACAGTTTGAGTTGTTGGTGAAAAGGGGCCAAACGTATCGCACTAGACTGAGTGCCGATATAACCTGTTAGTCTTGTGTGTTCCAGAGTGTACGGGATCCTTCGGGGGCCTCCATTGCCTTGTACACGGCCAAACTCCACCACCCGAACAAGACAGGCAACCATGTGGTGCTTCAGGCCCTCTTCTACCTCCTGGATCGGGCCGTGGAAAGGTGAGCGGTATCAGTGAAACGTTATCTAACCAACACTGGGCATCCAGTCTCCCCTGGATAATATGCTCTGCTGTAGCAATGGAGTCTGGTGCAGTATTTTACTTAAACTGGAAACCTTCCCAAATACATCACCCAATGTATTTCCGAGTGGGTTAGTTTTCCCTAAGGGAATCCTGAACATGTAATTTGACTTCCACCGGCTGCTATTTGAGGTGTTGCTTCAGTTTGCTGTCTATTCGCTTGCTTGCATAAGTGAGTTGTTACCTGACCTGTTTGTTGAGATATCCAAAACATTAACAGAGACGTCTCTCCCACAGCTTTGAGACCCAAAGGAACGGCTTGGTGTTCATCTACGACATGGCGGGCTCCAACTACACAAACTTTGAGCTGGACCTGAGCAAGAAGATACTCAACCTGCTCAAGGTCTGATTTACAGTGCTGCATTTTACATTAAATTATTTCATACATGTTAGTTAAATATCTGAGAAAATGAGATGCATTATCCTAAACAATGCAGTGTAATAGTCACAGGATGTAGATTTACTTATTGTCCACACGACTACACATATTGAAAGGAGGTAGGTTGAGTTATGTTCCATTGTTAAAAATGATTCACTCCTCTTCGGGGTCAGGTTAATATGTAACTCTGGAGTTATGTCCTTCATCCTGCGAAGAAAGCGATTGATTTAAACAGGATTGGTGTCTTCTCGGAATTGACTGCCCGTCCAAAGGGCAGAAATAGTGGCTCCACTGACTGGGTTGACAAGCATAAGAGTTATTTAATCCACACACCATGGCTGTGTAATACTCAGATGTAGGCATACTTGCAGGCACCTGCCAAAATAAGCACCACTCTAAGTGATTTGTGCTTTAAGGATCGAGTAGAATGTCCTCTGGAGTCAATAGCGCAGACACTTCTGTGGCCACATCGGCATCAGCGGCATGTCAGTTGTGCCCACATATTGATCTGAAAACGGACTGTAGCAGTGCTCATCAGATGCCGTTAATATATACCAGAGTACCACAAGAGAACGGAAAGCTTCTGTGAGTATTTTGAGGATAAACTATTTTATTTCAGACCCAACAAACTAGCTCATGATTGTCAAAGGGTGCTTTCACACCTGTAGTTGAGTTGATTTCAGACTGACATGTGACATAAAGCCCACAAAGGAATAAGTGATTATAAGCTTCATTAGTATTATTAGACTGCACGTCATAAATAATGACTGACAGAGAGACGGGACTGTCCTTTCACACGCTCCCAGATGACTGGTGCAAACTTCCTGAGCAGATTTCACAATCGGACGATGGAGTTATTCGTAGTTTAGCTTCTGAAATCCTGCTCAAATCACATATCTGTCATCATAAAATCCTGTGGTCCAGAGTCACTTTTTCAGGCGGTCTCTGTTCGGTTGTTTAGTCCGCAGGGTTCTATTGACAGTTCTCACACCAGCCCAAACGTACTGTACTAACTGGGGAAAACGACCTGAATACAACGGGTTACTTTCAAAGAAGAATGAAATGGATCCTGTTGAATCTGATGCACACTGTAGTTTGTTCTAAGTTGTTCTGTCTCTCTCCACCAGGGGGCGTTCCCTGCCAGGCTGAAGAAGGTGTTGATCGTCGGGGCCCCCGTTTGGTTTCGAGTGCCGTACAATCTGCTCAGCCTGCTTCTCAAGGAGAAACTTAGGGAGAGGGTAAATGGAGGAGCTCTTTTCCTAACACTTGCTACATGTTTGCAATGACTGAGCTGCAATTGAGTGTCATTGATTGTTGCAAATGATTATTTGATTTGGGGGTTCTCTTTGACCACTAATCCACCCTGCTGCCGCCTACTTCCTGGGATGTTGATGCGTGAATCACAGGAGTCGATCACCCTGCCGACATTACTGCCCCTCAGTCATTTCATTAGTATGGATTTCTTGAGTCACCTGATGGTCTACCATAAATTGTTTCAGGATTATTCATGCAACAAAGACGTATAAATTGTAAAAAAAAAGGAACATTGATTACTAATCGGTAATGTCAGCCCTCCACCAAAGATTTCCATAGTTGGCTGCATGTTTTACCAGGTGAACTTATTCCCATCTGTGGATCCCCTTTCTCTTCTATCTCCAGGTTCAGATGGTGAAGATGGCCGAGCTGCGCCAACACCTCCCCAGAGACTGTCTGCCGCAGCACCTCGGCGGCCTGCTGCCTCTGGAGTCGTACAGTTGGAACCAGCAGCTCCTGGCGGGCCAGAACGGCCGCGTAGACCCGGTGGACGAGCTGGTGGGCATTCCCGTGGAAGACGCCTCCATTCACGTCCCGGGACCCGAGTCCATGCGCCCGCAGGAGCTGCTGACGCACCTCGGCAGGCTTCAGCGCTCAGGCATCCATCAAGAGTATGAGGAGCTCCGTAAAGAGCCGCCGCCCGGAAGCTTCCACTGTGCACAGTGAGTCCACAGCATCAGACGTTTAGAGCACTGGAGTTTCAGAACAAACATGAGATCATTTCTCAAAACAAGGAATTATTTAACAATATTATTATTATTATTTATTTTTTATTTATTTATTTTTTTCTAAAAGTAATTAATTAAGTTTACATGTTTGCTGGGAACAATTAAGGGTTACACTCTGAATCAATGTCGTAGTTCAGGCTTCTTCTGTTCATGGGGTGAATAGTTATTGTGGACCCAGGCTCACATGAGCATCAGAAGCAGGTGAAATGATTTGTTGTCGGTGCTGAAACAATTCATTGATTAGTCGATTAACAGAAAACTAATCCGCAACTGATTTTTCAAGCACAAATGCCAACGATTTGATGGTTTCATCTTCTCAAATGTGAGGATTTGATTTGTTATGTCGATGAGAAAATAGAATATATTTGGATTTTGCATTGTTGGTTGTATAAAACGAGCAATCCAGCAAACTGGCTACTGAAGTAGTGTCATTAGTACAGTTTGGTATCATTTGTCTACAGATTAGCTTACAACCAGGAGAGGAATCGCTATGGAGACGTGCTGTGCCTTGATCAAACAAGAGTTCGTTTGAAATCCAGAAGGAACGAGGTGGGGGGTTTATTATTATTTCTTTTAATTTTGTTCATCTGCACATTACAGTTGTCATTCAAATGGAGAGAAAAAGACTGCCAGTTCCACTCTTGATCGCTGTCGGCTGTCCAGAAATGTGCCACGCTTCAACATGTTGACAGGCTGCCACACAGCCAGTGTTCTGATTCACAAGCTAGCTGGTGTTTGTCCACAAAGTGTAACCACATTATTTGACTCTTTTGAAATAATAATTGAATACTCCATCGGCCCCATGTAGACAACTGAGCTGTACAGCCTCATTCACGTCCTAGCACGAGTCTCCTTTTAGTGTTTGGTTTACTTCGCCTTTGTAGCAAAGCTTTGTTGTTCCCACAGAGATCAGACTACATCAATGCAAGCTTCATGGACGGCTACAAACAGAGGAATGCATACATTGGTACTCAAGGTATGACAACTGTGTATTTATTATTATTATTATTATTATTATTATTATTTATAAGTGTTTAAAGAGATACTTGAATTTGTGTGTATAGACGGATACGTGGATGGTTTAAGGTTTTCTCCATTACACAGCTCCCTGACTGAACTGAAGTCATTTTAATGTGCCTTGAATCTCCTGTTGTACTTGTGCAGGACCTCTGGAAAAGACCTACGGGGATTTCTGGAGAATGGTCTGGGAACAAAACATGCTTGTTATTGTGATGACAACCAGGTAATCTAAGTTTATTTTCTTTTTATTAAATTCCAAATATAATTCAAACTTGTTCTTCAAGTCAGAAAAAGGTGCCAGTTTCTCCTTTTTTGAAGGTTAGTCAGAATAAACTAATTTCACCAAGTACGTCCTGTCTCTGTGCTGCAGGACAGATGAGGGCAGTCGGAAGAAGTGTGGACAGTATTGGCCTCTGGAGGAAGGGGGGCAGGAGGTCTATGGCCACATGGCGGTGGTTAACCAAAGGGTGGACCACCACACCCACTACAACCACACCACGCTCGAGCTGCACAACACTGAGGTACAGCCATGGACCGAGAATATGTATTGCAACAGGAAAGTGCAACAATATTCAGGATGTCAACAAACAAACAAAAAAAAGCATACCATGTGCAAACATGCAGAGTAGAATCAAAGATATGTTTCAGTCTTTCCAGTTCTGACCCGCAAATGGTTATAGTTAAATCCACCTTCCACTCTTAAACTGGATCAGATGGAAGCTTCGTTTTTTCCAACTTTGCACAGAGCCATGCTTGTTTCCAGTCTTTACTTTATGCTAAGCTAAGCTAAACACCTGCTGGCTCTAGCCTTTTATATAGCGTACAGACATGAGGGTGGCATTTACTTTCTCATCTAACTCTTGGTGAATAAGCAAGTTAGCATATTTCCTAAAATGTCAAATAATTCCTTTTTATATAAGCCATATTTCAAGAAGCATACAACTAAAAACATATTTTATCCATTCAGACATGTGAACAGAGACAAGTGAGTCATTTCCAGTACCTCAGCTGGCCTGACTACGGCGTTCCCACCTCAGCAGTGACTCTCATTGACTTCCTGGGAGCTGTGAAGAGACAACAGAGGAAAGTGGTGAAGAGTTTGGGACTTCAGTGGGCGGGCCACCCACAGGGACCCCCAATGGTGGTGCACTGCAGTGCAGGGATCGGGAGAACAGGTGAGATCCTGAAATTGTTTAAGCCTGAATTTGCGTCATATCCTGCGAGACGGTATTACAAATTGTGCTTCATTAGTCGGATGTCGTGTTTTATGTACTTATATTGTCTTTGACAGCATGAAACAAGGCCAATTTTAGCTGACATAAAAGAAAACTTGTCCAATTGAAACTAATTCTATATATAGGTTCACAGGTTCACCGCTTCACAACCTCCAACATTAATTCTACTGTTTACTGGCAGATTACACACGTGCGTAAAGCGTAGCCTGTACAGCAAACTTCAGATGAAACTTAGTTTATTTGCTCCAAATCAGCTGATGGAAACTCACATTTCTTTTTTTGCACCATTTCAAATGCTTAAAATGTGCTTAACAATTGGAATGGAAACATCTTTAAAAAGTGTCTTTGCTTACAAGCCCTGTTGATTGCAGGTACCTTCTGTGCCCTGGACATCTGTCTGTCCCAGTTACAGGACGTGGGCTCACTGAACGTTTGCCAGACGGTGCAACGCATGAGAACACAGAGGGCCTTCAGCATTCAAACCCCGGACCAGTACTACTTCTGCTACAATGCCATTTTGGAGCATGCCCAAAGGCAGGGCCTGCTCCCAGCCAATCAGTGAGCTTCAGCCCCCCCCCCCCCCCCCCCGCCCCCCCCCCCCCCCCCCCCCCTCCCCGACTTCCCCAATTAACCCACGAGCCCTGAGATTTCTGCAGTCAAATCTGTTAACCCCAAATTGTGTTGTGTGACCAATTTGTGAGACCAGGAAAGTAAAGTGGGAGAAGCTGTCTGTTGAAACTATAGGCCCATTCTTCATTGGCAGGCCAAGACGAGACAGTGACAACAAAAAGGCTTGAGGGTGACATTGTGATGTTTCAATGTGATAACATTCTCGCTTCCAACAATGTGACATTTTGTTTGTGCCGAACACATCTCAGACGATACGTGGTAGCATGAACAAACTGCTCCTGATCAGGTCTGTGGTCGGGCACATTGAGTGGAGTGATCGAGGTGATGTTTGTTAACCTTTTTGTATATTTATTTTGCCACTTTAAACCGACGGTTTAGGGGACCTTAAAGGAGTAGTTCACCCCAAATTAAAAATTCAATCATTATCCACTCATGCCATATTGGTTAAAACTATACTAAACTTTGTATGACTGCAAATAAATGACTTTTAATTGCATTTCAGTCAAGTTAACATGGCACATTGTGCACCAAAAAGTTACTTTTCTCCTCACAACTGCTGTGAAAAGTTTTGTTTTTTTAACAGCCAAGTGAATGGCCAATAGGCATAATTACTGAACACAGACAATATCTTGATCAGATGCATGAAGTAAGCACTAAACTTATTTTATTTTTAAGAGCTGAGTGGGAACCACAGTAGCTAGCTTATCTTTTTTCTTAATATTTCTAATATACAAATTGTATTTATTGCATTTATAAGTAACATGGACAAGTCGCAAGTTACTGACAACAATTTTCATTTTGGGGTGAAATGAGCCTTTAACTAAGTACACCATTTTTTTTTATTCCAAATAGGGAGCTTGATCTCCACTGTCACGCAACAATAATGTATTTTTTGTTAGGTTAATAGTTTTTACACCTCCTGTGTCCAGGAAATATTGAGTAGTGCATTTTTAGCACATGGTTTAAGTCACGTAGATGGTACGAGCTAGTCTCAGGAGTGTCCATGAACACATGGAGGTGAAACCGCTCAAAAAAAAAAAAAAAATGAATACAGGAAGTCTTTTGCCAAGAAGTTGTTCTGTTCCTTTGAAGTTGCATGATGCATTCTCCTCTGCCTTAGAAAGAAAACTCAGTAAAGAGGGGTAAAGCACATCCGATATGATCAGCTGTAAACTCCTAAATGGCCGATACATCCCCACTGTGATCACTCATTAAATTGCTGTCCATGTGAATTCCTCTTTTGTTTTTCCAAATGTATCCTCTGACCTTCCATCTCACTAAATTGAGATTTTTCTAACGTATACAGACAGCGACTAGTGTCTTTGTGACCGCCTTTGCTCACTAGCAGTGCCATCATGCTTCAGTGGTTGTGGGAATGTATCGCTAAGCGCCCACTCGCATACACACGCACACATTTAGAGCCGTCTGCAGTGATTATGCCATCGAAGCCAACATCTGTGGAAGTCATCGGTTAAGACCTCATGAGTAGTGCAATACTTCTTTTTGTGTTTGTTTTACACCAATCATGTCTTAGCACTTTTAGATAACTATTCCCAATGTGCTCTGAGATCAGTCGTCATCGTGATAGGATGGGATGACGCATAAAACGTAATTCTGTAGGTCGACGCGTGATGCTGGGATAACTTAATTGTTACATTTAGTAATGCTGAAATATCAAACATTAGTGTGACATTTTGGACTCAGTGTAAACATCTGCATAGAGCTTTATCACAAGGTTTTTTTACAGGGAGGCCAGAAATGAATGATAGAATAGGTGAACAGGCATCCACAAATCTGTGCCTACACCCTATAGAGTCCTTCTTGGACACTTGAAAGTCAGAAATTTTGTCTGAAGTATATTTTCATTATTATTGTGTTACTTGTTAAGTTCTACAGACTGTGGTTGTAATCAGTGCTTTCATCTGGTCCCAGTATCTTGCCATTAGTATAGAGTACATGTACAAAAACTGAGTGTCTGTGTGTCATACGTTGTATTATGCTGTTGCTGGGTGAAAAAAAAAAAAAGTGTGTTCTTTGCTACAGAATTCATATTGAATTTGCTTGTGGTGAAGCATTTTTAAGTCTGCCATCATCATGCACTCTGATTTTAGAATTATTTTTCCTTTCAATGACGGACGCAAAATGTGCCCTATTTTATTTTTCTATTGTATTCAGCAACTGTTTTCATACGATTACCCAGGATATACAGTTATCTACATTAATTTTATATTTGTTTATTATAACCTATTACTTTATCATTCGTATGACTATTGAATCAAGCTATACTGTATTAAATACAAACTGTCAATGTATACATTCGTAAAGCTGTGGGTTTTTTTGGCTTACTAAGCTGATTTATCGCTAATTTAAGGTTACTAATTTTCTCGTTTTTTGGTATTTTTAATTTGGCAATCACAGTTTGACTGTCTTGTATAATATCAAACATTCATTGAAACTTCAAGACGGGTATAAATAAAACGTATCGTAAACCTGTTAAGACAAAAAAGAAAGAAAGCAGTAGTTCATAGTATTCTAATAAATCCCAAATCTGTTCTCCAGAGGGGACTTTGATCTTGGATTATTCAAAAAGTACACAGTAAAAGTACTTCATCGTGTTTGTGCAGGTAGTGTCAGAGGGCTCATTCCAAAAATATTAGTCTCATAAACTACTTGTGGATGAAAGGGGTTTTAGCCCACATCAAAGTTAGACAACAAAAAAGCCTATTCTGGGTCTCTGGAAGGGAATTAAACATTGGACATTGGATTATTCAAAAAGTACATAGTAAAAGTTGTTCATATTATTTTTGATTTTAGTCGAAATAACATGCTCATAAATAATTCTGTTATTTAGTTCTGTTCCTTAATCACAAATACCGTAAACTAAACTACACGCGATCCTTTACTTTGAAATCCGGACCGGAAGTTATCCTTGGCGGGATTTGCGGTAGTTTGAGTGGATTTATACTGTACATACACAGCTCTCTGTATTCCCATTTTATTTTTCTACACAATACTATAATATAGAGATAGTAAGTCTAATAATGAGATGCTAAGTCATTATTTTGAGTTTGTCATAATGTTTTTTATCACAGGGCGGAAATGGGCATCCATAGTTATAAGTTCGAATCCCGTAAAATTATTTTTATTTTAACATTTCAAAGTGCTACATAGTTATTCTGTGACACGTGTTTACCCAAAACAGACTCCACTGACGTGTATGTATATTTATAAACTCTATTATTTTAAAGGAAGGGCAGTTTGCTCTCTTCCTGTTTCTGCACGTTTGACGTTTCCAACGGGAGTGGACTGGTTTCCTCAGAGGAGACTCCCAGCGACGAATCCGGTATGTTTTGATCATAGACTGCATATGAGAAGGTTTTTGACACTGTAATAAAAACAACTACTAAACAATGCGGCATTCACGAGGACAGCTACGTGTTCTCTTCCTGATTTCAACAGCTGTCGACAACCACAGACCATCATTAGTCAGCTGACAGAAGAGCCATTCAGACAGCAGACCAGACATGCTTATCGAAATACAAGAAAACGTGAAACAGAATTCAAATGATGGGTCTGACAGTAGTATTCATTTGGGTACCAGCACATTTTGGTGTCAAAGGAATTAAATGGCAGATGAAGTAAAGGAAAATAATAATCGCTGCACTAATGTTGCAGTCACCTTCAGTAAAAGAGAAACCAAAAGTATTATTATATTGAAGGAATGGTGGCAGAAGTAATGGGAGGAAGACAGAAACAGGACGATGGTTTTACAAAGTTCAGAGGAAAGTGGGAGAAATGAGATGTGGCGGAATGAACAGGAGAGATGAAACGGTGATAGCAAGGCTTAGATTTGGACACACTGGACTTAACAGCACGCTACTAAAAATAGGAAAACACGATTCAGGCAAATGCGACTATTTTGTGGACAAGAGGAAACAGAACATGTTATTGTACACCGTCAGAAATATGAGCAATAAAGAAGGCACCTAATTGGAAACATGACCAAGATAAAAGTATATTTTGATATAATAGACATGCAAAATAAATCAAGAAGTGTTTCCAAATACTATTTATAGTATCTTAGGCTGACTACTATTGTTTAGAAAATATGAGCCCGTTTTAAATGTATTTTTTTAAATAAATAAGGTAAATACCACCAGACATCCTGATCCCCACTCCACACCACTTGGTGGCGGTAATGCACCAATTCATTGTTTGCCAACCGCCAATAAACAAAGAAGAAGAAAACAGTCGCAGTGACTCACACGTAGTACTCGTGTTGTTTACATTAGCTGGCTAGCAGCTAGCTCACAGCCCCTGTCGACAAAACGAGTTCTCGGTGTATCCCCCGTCGTGTTTTTTGAAGTTCGTCTTTCTTAACGCAATTCATTCAGATGCTTATGGAGTTGTTGCTGT